TCTTTGAGTTGCTGCTACAGGTCACATAAGGACTCAGTTACCTCTAGGATTTAGAGGGAAAAAGCTGACCAGAATGGGGAGGTGATGACTGATGTTGAGCATTGATGTGTATGTTTGTTATCACAGAAAGGATCTATACGAATTTTCACACTCATGAAACAGCTCAACTGGTGTAAAACAGCAGCTTAAAGGCATTTTGCAGGTGGCTATGGATTAGAAGTGGTGAGGTCTTCAGAGTGTGGTTTGTCGGGCACAGAAATCCTGTCATGATTTGTCAAAAGTACAGCAGAGCACCTAGGGCTTGGCTCAGGAAAAGGTTTAGGTGGCTACAAAGCTGTGCTAGTTGTTACTCGAGAGCAGCATTTGCTGGGAAGCTGTGGATGAGGTGTGTAATGCAGCTGCAGTGTAGAGCTGCCCTCCTGTGGGAAGGGGAAAAATGGTTCAGTAGTCTCTTTCACATGGGTATTTGCATAATTTGTGTGGTTTGTATGCCTAGTTCATGCAGGAATTCAGCACTGCAATAATTCAGCAATGTAATAATTCAGCACTGCAGGAATTTGTCACTGCAGTAATTCATCACTCCCATTCTGATTATGTCAAATTCATAACCAGAATGTGCATTGCTGTAACCAGGAGCAGAATCTAATCCTAAACTTCTGATTTCAATATTTTAGACAAGGTAACTCTTTAAAAAGCAGCTCTTCCCTCATACTGTTACACAGGATGGCTTAGCTGCAGCCAGGATGCTGTTATTTGTTGAATTTTCTTGATAAAACTAGTCACAGAATCACAGAATTTAGGGGTTCAGTCCCAACTCCCTGCCCTGGGCAGGGACAACTCCTCCCTAGATCAGGTTGCTCAAGGCTCATCCAGCCTGGCCTTGAACACTGCCAGGGTTGGGGCAGCCACAGCCTCCCTGGGCAACCTGGGACAGTGTCTCACCACCCTCACACGGAAAAACGTTTTTCTAATATCTAACCTAAACTTCCCCTCCTTCAGTTTGAACCTATTTCCCCTTGTCCTGTCACTGCAGTTCCTAACACAGAGTCCCTCTCTGGCTCCTTGTAGCCCCTTCAGATATGGAAAAGTTGCTCTGAGGTTTCCACACAACCTTCTCTTCTCCAGGCTGAACAGCCCCAACTCCCTCAGCCTGTCCTCATAGGGGAGATCGTCCAGGCTCTGATCAACTTTGTGGCCTCCTCTGGACTTGCTCCAACAGTTCCATGTCCTTATGCTGAGGACACCAGAACTGTGTGCAGTGTTCCAGGTGGGATCTCATGAGAGCAGAGTAGAGGGGAAGAATCACCTCTCTTGACCTGCTGCCCACACTCCTCCTGATGTAGCCCAGGGTTCGATTTGCTTTCTGGGCTAAGCTCACACTGCAGCTCATGGTGATCTTCTCCTGCAGTCGATTCACTTCTTATCACTGCAGTGACTCATGAATGACCCTTAGTTGGTGACTGGTCGTTTCCTGTCGATCAGTTTGGGCTCAGGCCAAGGAGCTTCTGCTCACAGGTGTGAGGGGATTCCACTTCCTTTTCCTGCAGCCTCGGGTTTCCTCCTCAGAGCAGGAAAACACTGGGTGCACACTAGGAAACGTGGTTTGAGTCAGGCTGAGCGAGCAGAGACATCTGCTCCTGCCTCTGCAGTCAGCTGGGAAAATGCCTGCAGGGAGGTTGTGTCTCAGCTCAGTGCAGAGATGTGTCACATTCTCAGTTCTCTTCCTGCAGCTTGAGGAGACCTAATGGTTTCAATATGTTTCTATTTCTTGTCTTTCGTTAATTCCCTCCTTGCCCGAAAGTTCCTGTTTTCTGGTGGGGCCTATGGCAAGTTAAATATTTCTGTGTTTTGTGTGTATTAAACAGAAGCAGACAGCTGTGAAATGAGTTAGGTAGTGAGATTCTGCACTGCATCCCCAGGCAGCAGTATTACATCAGAGCCCAGTGGGAAATTCAGCTGCAGAAAGTGAGATGTAGAGTTTCTGAAATATTTAACTGCTCTACCAGTATCATGTGGGAAAACCTCTGGGGAATCTGCTGATTGATTCTTCACAAAGAACCACTGATTGTACTTTCTAGCAAATACTGAGAATGAAACTCAGATAACAACACTTTTTAGGGTGTTATTAAGGGAGATGCCAATTCAAAAATCAGATTTTTTCTCATCAAAACACTTGTATCATTGTAATTCCCCAGAGCATTTAGTGACTTGGCCATACAAAAACAAAGACTTATTATATACTTCAGATTACAATTAATAGCTGAGTCTCATTTTCTAAGCTAGTATTAGAACTGTTCTGTGGTGGTTTTTTTTAACCAAGCAAGTATCAGTTATGTAGTGATGAAAGGTTGTTCTGACAACCTTCACTCACAACAGGAGTGAGATGAGTTATTTGAGGAAGGGCTGCAGTGTGTGTGTTTGCAATGTTCTTTTCGAGGCAAAAAAACCCCTCTTGTTCTCACTGTACCATTTGCCCCTAAGTAATAAGTAAAACTATTTATTGTTTTATAATAAACACACCTTTGGGTCGCTAAATTCAAGCATAAACACCAGAAAAAACAGTTTGCTGCAAACAAGGATTAGGTTTGTGGATCACAGCCAACCTGTTTAGATGATGCTGACTATGGCACCACCTCTTGTTCAGTGCACACAGAGCTGGAAACCTGGTGCAGAGGTTAGGGATTATTTTTTCTTTTCCCTTAAAAATCCTTATCTCAAAAGAATATGGGATCATTTCAGTGATTTTTTTAGCCTTTTTTATTTGCTACCTGCCGCAAGACTTCTCGAGGAGATGCAGACAATACTTTCATAGAATCATAGAATCATCATAGAATTTAGGAGTTGGGATGGAGCTTAGAGATGATCCAGCCCCAACCCCCTGCTCTGGGCAGGGACACCTCCCACCAGAGCAGGTTGCTCAAGGCTTTAGCCAACCTGGCTGTGAACACTGCCAGGGTTGGGGCAGCCACAGCCTCCCTGGGCAACCTGTGCCAGTGGCTCACCACCCTCACAGGGAAAAACTTTTTTCTCACGTCCAACCTAGACAGTTGCTAGTTGCTTTGAGGTTACTTGAGCTTTCCAAAAGCTGTAGAATGCTTTTTCCTTGCCATCTGCAACTGCAACAAGTACTGGGATCTGCTCTAGTACAGAACTAGTTGTTTTCTAATTGTGTCTTTTGTCTGTTTCAATTTCTAGACATCATTAACCTCATCTCACTCCTGTGATACGCTCGAGAGCTGGTTCTTTGATGAAACTTCACAGAGATGCTGTTACCAGTGTCCCTCAGGTCAGTATGTTTGTAATTCAGTCACATTCTCTATGAGAGAGTAGTAGGAGCCTGTGTAAGTGCAGAATTGCACTCTGTCCCTGAAGAAAACTGCAGTTTCATGAATCACTGTCTGATGTGGATCCAGATGTGGCTCTGTTTTTCACTGTGCTGCTCCTGTGCAGTCTGCATGCAAACTAGAGAACCTGATGGAATTTTCATGTGTTTTTTTCATCACTTGACTAGACACTGAAGCAGCCAGAAGGAGGCCATTCTAAGAATTCATTTCAGCTTCTCTCAGGGGGTGAAACAGCAGAGTGAAATTAAGCTAAATGAGTTTCTGCTCAGAGACAAAACGTGTAAAATGAAGGTGTGGAAAATCTGACATTATTCTCACAGTCACAACAGCTTAGGCAGTATCTCACAACAGCCTCGTCGGGGGACACAGCGAGCCTTGCTAGAAGTGGGTGTGACTCAGAGGCACATGAGGTCAGCAGCAGGAAACACCTCGGTGAGACATGAGCTCTGGAAATCTCAGAAACTGCCCCTACTGGCCAGAAAACCCCTCAGTGGGTAGGGCATTTTGTGGTACTTCACCACTATCAGCATCTTCTTATAAAAACTTGTCTTTTTATTTTTTTTTTCTGAAAGGAAATTTCTGACATTTCTTTGTGCTCTGATAATACAGTTTAGCACTGGTTTGTCAGAATTTTCATGCAGCTCCATGGGGGCTCCCCTGGGACAGCCTGTGCTGCTGGCCACACCACTAGAGTCCTGCACAACTTATATGCACAAATAAGAGCAAGGGATGGAGAAAATGGTGCCATAGGAGAAGAAAAAGGGGCAAGGATCTGACTTTGAGACAGTCCCAAGCTCTTTTCTCCTTCAGAACCATTCTTTGCCAAGGCTCCATCATGACAGATGCCACAGTGTGGGAAGCAGAGATCTGATTTACATCAGGCCGTGCTGAGCCACCAGTCTCAGTGATTTCATCTCTGCTGATTCTTGGCACTCATTTCTTTGCTACATCCTCATGTCAGTCTCGGATATCTCTTCACGTCCTCCAGGTTGGATTTGATGATCTTGGAGGTCTTTTCCAACCCTGTTGATTCTCTGATTCCTTCACAACAAAAGTTATAAGAATTCATTTTCATTTTAATCTTCCACTACTCCTACAAGCAGTAACCTATTCACATCTGCTGCTCTCTGTGAGGAGAGAGGAGCTTTTCTAAAATTCCATTTCATCAAAGGAAGGAAAGAAGGAAACAAGAAAACCAATTGCCTGGGGACTTTGGAATGGCAGGACAGTATCGCCCTCCCTGCAGACCTGGTGATCTTTTCTGTCAGCAAATGACTTGCCATGTGCCCATTTTGCACAGTGCATTCCAACTGGGATCATGGCCATCACAGGACAGCCGTGAGCCCTTCACATGAATGGGAAAGGCAAAAATGTGCTAGAGAAACCAAATGAGAAAGAGAAGACTGTGGTAGTGTCTCTGAGAGGTACATGAGCATACAAGAACACTTCAGGATGATTCTGAGCAGGTATCCTGTATATTTTGGGGTTTTTTTTCCAGGCTATGTCAAGAAGAAAGCATGTCCTCAGCACCCAGCTGAAGACTGCATGACATGTGGACCTGAGCAGTATGTGAACAACTACCCAAAGCCACACTGTGACGCCTGCGTGTCCTGCACAAAAGGTTTGCTGTCCCCTACACATACCTCAGTTCTATTCTCTGTGTATTTGATGTTGAATTTATTCATATTTTATTCATTTAGAAATTCCAGCAGCAAAGTTATCCATCCTTGGTTACCGATCCAGGAGCAGAATGTTACCTTGTACATCATCAGTGTTATTTCCCATGTGACTTGGAACTACCTACAAATTCTCTCCTCCAGTGCTATCCAAGGCTGGTTTCTGCTTTCTGTCCTGTGTTACCAACCATTGTCTGTAATGCAGGACAGAGACTTCTCCAATTGCTCATAGGATCACAGAATTTTTGGGGTTGGGATGGAGCTTAGAGATCATCCAGCCCCAACCCCCTGCCCTGGGCAGGGACACCTCCCACCAGAGCAGGTTGCTCAAGGCTTTAGCCAACCTGGAATGAACACTGCCAGGGTTGGGGCAGCCACAGCCTCTCTGGGCAACCTGGGACAGTGTCTCACCACCCTCATAGGAAAAAGCCTTTTCCTTATATCTAACCTAAATTTCCCTCTTGCAATTTGTAGCCAACGTACTCACGTACCCAATTTGTACTCATGACTGAAGTTGCCATCACAGGCTGCTCCAGCAGCTTCTTCTGCCTCCTGAGCCTTTGCACTGCTGTTGCTTGGCAGTTTGTAGCCAATGTACTCATGTACCCAATTTTTACTCATGACTGAAGTTGCCATCACAGACTGCTCCAGCAGCTTCTTCTGCCTCTTGAGCCTTTGCACTGCTGTTGCTTGGCTTTGTCCTCCACTTTGCATTTCCTTGGAGGGTGATCCTTTGTTTCTCCCCCACAGTACCAGACCTGGTGGAGAAGGAGCCCTGCTCCTTCAATTCCAGACGTGTGTGTGAGTGCCGACCAGGTCTGTTCTGCCAAACTTCTGTCCGGGACAGCTGCACACGCTGCCAGCAGCACACTGCCTGCAAGCCTGGCTTTGGAGTCAAAGTCAGAGGTAGGAATTCCTACTGTCTGCCTTTCCTGGCCTTGGCCATAGGCCTGGACCTGATGCATTTTAGTTGATCAGTCCTCAGTGGTTATTTTTCTTCAGGCACCTCAAGAAATGATGTCACCTGTGAAGAGTGTCCTTCTGGGACCTTCTCTGACCGAAGCTCCAGCACTGACAGCTGCAAACCCCACACAAAGTGAGTCCATGGAACTTTAACCTGATTGAGAAATTAATTGAAATTCATACAGGATGAAAAGGGACGTATCACTCCTGCTGCAGAGCATACACATTTGTCTTAGAGGTGGGACTTGTCACTTCTGGTGCAGAGCATACACATTTGTCTTAGAGGCAATGGGGTAGCTTTGGGCCCATGTGCAGAGGGTAGGAGACCTCACTTTGTACCTGCTGCACAGCTCTGTACTGGGGGAAGGAGGGAAGGAAGGAAGGAATCTCTCTTGCCTCATTTTTAGTTTACTAAGTACAGTAGAATTATACATCTGTGTCAGTATCAGGTTTGCATCCAGGTCAAGAATTAATGCCACAGGGGTGAGAAGAAGCTTAATCACTTTTACACTGAAAGCAGTAATTGCAGGTGGTGCAAAAGTGGCCAAAGGGATGTTTGGCACATGGAAAATACTTATATCTTGTACCATGGCAGTTTCCTCTAGCACTGATTGCTGTTCTCTTTCCTTCCCAGCTGTGCCAAGTTGAACAAAGTAGCACTAAGCAAAGGAAATGCCACACACGATGAGGTTTGCCTGGACCAGTTGCCCACCTACCTCACCCCAAGCACTTTGTCCATGAGATTCAGCAATGAAACTGATAACTCTGACCTAAGGAGGTTTGAGGAGAGCCTGGTGACCATTGCTGGTGGTGAACCTTTAGGTGCCACAACAACTGAAAACCCCAGTTCAACTCCTGAGGACAAATCTCCACCGGGCACTTTTCCCACCTCAGCCAAGGGGGAGATGACAACAGGAGGTAACAAAGACAAAGCATTTACTCTGTCTAACATGCTTTATGTGGAGATATCTTTGGTAAACACAATTTTTATGTGGGAGCTTCCTGCCAATCCTCTACAACTTGTGAAATGCTGTCCATGGGTCTATGTCCAAACACACAGATCTACTCACAGTTCTCCCTCTGCCTTTTCTTACTCTTTCCTGTGCTCCCTGTCCCTTTCTGTGCTGTAGGTGTGGTGCTCTGGGCAATGGTTCTCTCTGTGGCAGTCCTGCTTGGGGGCATGCTGTTATTATGGAAGTGGAAGGTTTGCAAGAAGCAGATCCTCGTCCTCAAAGGAAAACGTGAGTTCCTGAAGCTCTAACACAGGATGTGCTGTTTGGCCTCCCTGTGTATGCCAAATGGGAACTCAGATATCCCAGTATTTTGTGGAGGGCATTGGGGAAGAGGATGCTCACTGCTGCTTGGTGAAGGCAGGCCAGATAAGGGTTAAGGCAAGATGTTGATGCAGCAAGTTAGAGAACATGAAAGGTGGAAGCAGTTGTGAATTTATGGAGTTTGCAGGCTGCGTGGGGAAAGGGTAACCAGTGGTTTCTTCTCTCAGCACAGACACGAATATTAAATGATACCTCAAGTGTTGTGTGAGTAGTTTTGCTTCTGGAATGGGGTTGGACTTTGAGCATGAGAGGAAGAGTGATTTTTCCTGACACTGACCCCATGGCTTTGCCTAGAGTACATGTGGGGTGTGCCTGCAGAGCCACATTCCCTCTTTGATGGAAAGCAGGATGTGCACTCGTAGGTTTGTTGTAGACCTGTGGGTGTGGTGAAGCTGTTAGAGCCTTCAGGCTCCACATGAGTTTGACTAAAGGAATGATTTCTCTTACCAGCACATCTGCATTCGGTCATGGCACACAAACACGTGCTCGCATCTCCAGGTGAGTAACTGATGGACCAGGAACTGGAATAGCTCTAAAGGATAAGTGGATAGTTTGAATATGGAACTCTGTTTTGTAGAATTTTAATTTAAAATGTGGAACTTTGTCCTGCCAAACATGTGTCTGTGCTGCCGTACAAAGGGCAGTCCTGGATGGGACCAGGTGCCACTAGATGGCACATTGTTCCCACAGTACCTGAGGGCTTGGGGTGCGACAGTGCAGGGAGGGTTCACTGGGCACACCCCCAAGTGATTTCTGCGCAGTCCAATAGGAGACACATGTAACTCAAGTGATTGCTGCGCAGTCCAATAGGAGACACATGTTCAGAAAAAAAGTGGCTGTTAGCCAGAGCAGCCTGTACACATCCCCTGAGTACACACATCTAACTGATCCCCTCTCAGCACTCCCATTTCCACTGGCAGATCTGCTCTGTTGTCTCAGATTCTCCTAATCACCACACATCAGAGCTTTTTAGACTTACTTATTCAGGAATATGATTTAAAACCTCTTGTGTGCAGCTTGATTTTATCAACATGGGATTTTTTTCTCCCTCACTTGCCTTGCACAATAGGAACTGTTATTGTGCAGCATCACAGAGCTGATGCACTGAAGCTGTTGCATGCAGGGTGAAATAAGACAGTAGGTCTCAGCCCATGAAGATTCATGGTGCTACAGGAGGATGCTGTGCACTCCCTCCTCACCACTCTTCTGTCCTCAGTGTTCCATCCTTGCATAAAATCCCATCCCCTCGATATTCATCTGACCATGAGATGAACTCATCCAACTTGTTAATCCAGTAGAAAGTTATTGACACCTTTTTTTTAAAAATTATTAATAAGTCTGTTGTGCTTGTCTAGAGTTTCACCAGTTCATCATTCCATTAGCTGAGTACCAATTGTGGTGTGGGGAGAGTGACACAAAGGGCTTTGGGGAGAGCAGGACCTCACAGACATGGCAGCAACATGTTGCTGGTTCACCTCAGCTGTGTCATTTGAGTGTGCCCTGGGTGTTACAGAAACCACAGTGCAGGTGGGGTGGGCAGTGCTTTAGTGGTTCAGAGTAAATATTGACATTCTTGGGATGGTGTGCAATTTCTTCTGATGGTTTTTTCCTCTTTCCATTGCAGGTTCTGATATAGTGACCAAATGTACAGTAAGTGTGAAGTGTATTCCAAACAGATCAATGTAAATATTCCAGATTCCAAACCAATAATGTTATTTTTAAATGTCCTGTTGGAGTGCCTTTTGGTTTGGACTTTTCTCTGCAATGTATGACCATCGAGGTGTACTAGGACATCAGAACTCTGTGAATTTAGCTTAGAAACACTATTTTTAAATATGGTCCTTAGGTGATGCAGGAACATAGTTCAATGAAACTTAAGTTCCTATACCTGTTAGGCTCTTTGGAATTTTTCCCTTGCTGTGAAGTACATTCTGTTATCCTGACTGCCATGGAAGGATTCAGTAGACCTATTGGAATCCTCACAGTGTTGTTTTACATTCACCTCACCTGCTCTCCTGTTTGTATTGGCAGAAGGTCATACTGACCACTGAGGAGGAGCCAGAAGAGAAGGAGTTAATTGACAGGACCCTCCCTTTGGAAACCAACAACAACTTGGTCTCCAGCACAGAAAAAGCCTACAGTCCTCAAAGGAGTGTGACTGACCTGGCACAGAGCACTGGGAATGCCCCAGATTGTCCTGTTGATTCTCGAGTCAGAGACCACACAAACAACCGAATTGGTGAGTCTTGTTTTCCCTTTCCTCTTCCCTTCCCCTTTTCTCTTTTCAATTTTTCAACCATGGGCACAGAATGTCATTCTGAGATGATCAGTGCAGCGATGAAATGTAGTAGGACATCAAAAATCTGTGAGTTTAGCTTAGAAGCACTATTTTAAAATATGGTCTTTAGGTGATGCAGGGATCTAGTTCAAGGAAACTTAAGTTCCTATACCTGTTAGGCTCTTTGGAATTTTTCCCTTGCTGTGACTGTGGTGCTGTGGAGTTCATCACTACCCTGCAAAGTGTCCAAATCTCCTAGCAAAGATTGAGGCTGAATCTCCAGAGCCTTTGACACACAAATATCTATTCATTCACTTCATTCGCCTTCATATTCTCACGTTTGCCTTAGTCACTTTGGAACCTGTCAGAGAATTCCTTTATTCCTCCTTTTCATTCCAGAAGATGTAAATTAGCAGAAGAAATCTGAAATCCAAGACAAGTCAGCTGGAAAAGGATGCTGTAATGCTGAATGAGAATTGTACTTCACATGACTCAAGTTATCATTTTCTTCTCTTGCTTTCACAGCAATAGCTTGAGATGTGTCTCCCATGTGTTCCCATAAAGTCATTGATCGTGGCAAAGGGTGGGAGATAAAGTCAGGGAAGGAAACTCACTCACAGGGGGAGAATTGTTACCTGAGACACAGCCTACATGAGACATTCTGGCAAGGTTTCCAAACCAAATTTTGAGCTTATTTACCCCACAGTGGCTGATCTGCAGCATCCCTCAGAATTAAGTGTAGTGCTCCAAGCCCTTACAAAGACCTCATTTACCTTCTTGTGAAGGAGAAGGGACAACAAGCTGGACACAAGGTTCAAGTCTATCCCTGAAAATGTTGTAGTTGCTTCCCAGCTGGAAAGAAACTAATTTCTTTGCTGGTCCTAAGACCCCAGAGTGTCTGCACAGTGCTAATCCTTGCCCTATGGCTGATTTTAATGCAGGTGGTCTTGCTTCTCAAACAGCAGGAGCATAAACCTTGGATTCTCCATGTCTATCCTCCCCAGATCCCAACTAATTGCTTCTTCTAGCAGACTCTTGTGAATATTTACTGCCTCTTCTGATTTGTCTTTCTCTGGTAGTCCTAGCTCTAGCTCAGTGGCTTCATTCACCAATTTGATCTGCAATGCCCAGAGTCCCATTGACAGTGGCTGAAAACCAGACAGTGTAGTATAAAACATCCAGGCCTTTGTTGCCTTCTTTATCACTTGGTATGTCCAGCACTCTGATTTCAAAATGAAAAGCCCCTTATAAATCACCAATAAAACAGACAACTTAGAGTGTGTGAATTCCAAAAGCTTTATGGGCTGAGCAGTGAAGGGTTTGATCTGCAGGTCTCTGATTTTAAAACCTGAATAGCAAAGAAAAGAGTTGCATGAACAGGAAGCACCTCTGGGGCCAGCAGGGACTGTTCACTGCTCTCAGCTCTGCTGTTTTCCTTCCCCAGAGAAGCTGTACATCATGAAGGCTGACACGGTGATCGTGGGCTCTGTTTCTGAAGTGCCTAGTGGCAAGAACTGCACTGCTAGAGGATGTGAAAGTAACACTGAAGCCCAGGAAGACACAGAAGAGGAACTGGCAATGCACTACCCAGAGCAGGAAACGGAGTCTTTTCCAGGAAATGATGTCATGGTTCCTGTGGAAGAAGAGGGAAAGGAGTTTCATCACCCCACCACTGCCACTGAGAAGTGACAACCCACGGGGACGATGTGTGAAGCTGCAGAAACACCCAGCGTGACACTAATCCACAACAAGGGATGTAAACACATAGTGCCTTAGGTTATTGGGAAACTCCTGGAAAACACTGAAACACATTCAGACAGGGAGAGCTAGAACCTATTTCATCTAACAAATGAGAGGATCATCCAAACCATCAGCCTTCATGGCTGACATCAAATATTTCTTTCTCTCAGTATCGTGATTGAAACAGATTTGAATCGAAGCTGCATAATTTAGAGAACATCTGGATGTCAGCACAAGTTTCACAGCTTGTTCTCTCTGCATGAAGGAATGGGTTGAAATCTATGTCTGATTACTTCTATTAGCCATGAAAATTCTGGCCAAGATTCCAAGTGAAGTTCGAGACTCAGCCATGTCTCAGATGTTTCTATTCCAGTACTGCCAATTTGGTCATGTATTTGCTGCAACATCTGATATTTTCTTAAGGCCTCAACTCTTGGCTGAAAGTGATGACAATTTCAGCTTCCCTTGGCACAAACAGAACTCTCAAGTTTGTGGACTTCATGTTTCTTGAGGAAATAGGATCAAAAGGTGCCACACAGGCTCAGGAAACAGAAGGCAAAACTAATTGAAGTTCATTGTTCTTGAGGCCATTTCGAGGTTTTGAAGACTGATTGATGGTTTTTTGACTACTTCAGATCATCAGTAAGTGTACAAAACAGCCTCTTCTGCTGGAAGCCAAACAGGCTGAACGTTTGGCTATTGGATGAACAGTGGCTTTAGCCCAGTGTGGAGTCTGTGAAAAGGGAAATGAAGAAAAGAAACTATTTTTCTACAGAAAGAAAGGACTGAAAAAGAGGCACAGCAGATATTTCCTACAACATTGTTAATGTCTCCTTGATGCTTTAGAATTACCCATAATCATCAGGGTGACACTGATTTGCATATCCTTTAAAAACAAATCTGTTTTGTGGTCAGCTTGGCTTGTGTTATGCTATTTTTTAACCTTTGATGCTGCTTGTTCAGTAACTGTAAACGTAATAGTGCTGACTGTAGTTTTGCACAGGACAATGGAAAATGAGCGAGATGACAAAGTGTGTCTTGATAGTCAAAAAAAAGGAACCACAAAACCCATTACTTGCTTTGTAGCTGTGTTCTGGTCAGAGCACTGCAAGAACAGCTGTGCAGCTGCAGCCACTTCTGTCTCGGAACACACAGAAGGAACAGCAGGGCACAAAAACACCTCCTGGGAGTATGAGCCAAACATCTTATCTGACAGTCACAGCAAGGGATGTCAGTTGGGGAGAGCACATCAGCCTGGTTCCTATCTGCTCTTTGCACTCCTCCCAGTTCAGCAGCAGCAGCTGTAACTGGATGAAGGTTGTCAAAGAGTTTGTCACAGCCTTTACTCTTCATCCATATTGCCATTAGATTTTCCTCTCTCTTTGCAATCTCCCGGTACAATCTGCCTCCATAAACACCTGTGGCAACAGATTACAGGTACCATACACTGTGTAAAGAAGAACTTCTGACACCTCTAAACTGGTCTCTATTTCAGTGACTGCCACTGGTTCTTGTCTTAAAGAATTCAGTCAGTTGCCTTATTTTATTTTTTTTTGCAACTGAGTTGCTTTTGTGATTCTTGACTCTCTTCCTCAGCCTCCAGGCTGAGTTCCCACCTCATCATATTTCTCATGTAAGTTCAATGCTCCACTGCCTTGGCCACTTTAATTGACCTGTTCCACATCTCCTCTCACTTCACTACATATTGCATCTTAGAGAACACCAATTTATGAATCCACAAACTGAGTAACCACCTTCACCTGGCTGTGATTATTCAGGGATGTTCTGCAACAAGAGTAATTGTATATTTCAGCTCTGTATATAAATTAATCTTTTTTACTGGAACAGCTTTCTAGATGAACCACACGCATTGCAACCTGCTAGATGTATTATAGTTGGCTGGTTTAATAATGTTGGTAATCTCTGAATTAAAAGTCACATGGATTTTAAGCCATGCTTTTCTTGTTTGATATAAAAGTTTCATTGTTGATAATTTCAGTACCTGTATCAGAAGAAATATTTTTTCAAGACAGCCATTCATACTTTATGAAGCTCTTTGTGGACTGGAGTGTTTCTCAAAAGCAGAGCAGGGCTGAATTTTCTGCAGGGCTGAATTTTCTGTACTGTCTGTCTGTACCATCCTGGCAGTGTGTGACACAGAAATGAGTGGAGCAGTGGTGGGTATTAATGACTGCTGGAAAGCTGCAAAAGGTAAGTTTCTACTTTGGGGTGAAGTCCAGGAGCTGGACTCGAATGATCCAGCTCAGGATATTCTGTGGTTCTTCTGAATGTCTCTCAGTAGCAGAGGGTCATGAGCTCCTGGAGCAGGTCCAGAGTGCTGTGTTCAGTTCTGGGCTCCTGGAGCAGGTTCAGTGGAGGGCAGTGAAGATGCTGAAGGGATTGGAGCACCTGATGAGGAAAGGCTGAGGGAATTGGGGCTGTTCAGTCTCAATAAGAGATGGGGACCTCATTCATGACGTATCTGAGCTGGGGTGCCAAGAGGATGGATCAGGCTCTGCTTGCTGGTGCACACCAGTAAGACAAGAGGCAATGGGCAGAAACTGATGCATGTTCCATCTGAACATGAGAAAGAACTTCTTCACTGTACAAGTGACTGAGCACTAAAACAGGTTGCCCAGAAAGGTCCTGGATTCTCCTTCACTGGAGATACTCCAGACCCATCTGGACACAATCCTGTGCCATGTGCTAGGATGGCCCTGCTTGAGCAGGGAGGTTGGACCAGATGACCAGTTGTGGTCCCTTCCAACCTAACTGATTCTGTGATTCAAATTCTTGACTTCAGAAACTGTGTAAGTGTTTAGCACAAACAGGAAGGAATTCCATTTTTGAGTCTGGTGACACACTTTCTGAGAAGAAGCTGCTTCCACGTTCTGCTCCCTCTGCTGGAACTCTTTCTTCATTTTATCCCCCAACACTGTGGCTTGTGACTTTCATTTCCCAGTGGTCCCAGTCCCTCTGCCTCCCTTGCCAGGAGGTTGTTTATATGGTATAAAATCAGGTTCTTTTGTCCTGATAATAGAATTTTTTTCCCCTGTTCGAGTGTTCAGGCACTGGGGTAGCTTTGCCCAGAGAGGTGATGGAATCACCACCCCTGAAGGTGTTTGAGAGGCATCTGGATCTGGCGCTGAGTGATGTGATGTAGTAGTTTAGGGGCTGCAGTGGTAGCGTCGGGTAAACAGTTAGACTTGGTGATCTTAAATATCTTTTCCTCCCTGGAGGTTTTCAAGCTGAGACTGGATGTGGCACTTAGTGCTATGGTCTAGTAACCACAGTAAGGATCCTGGAGGTCTCTTCCAGCCGGGGTGATTCCACCCTCGATGAACTCAGGCTATTCTATGATTGGGCCACAAAAACCCTTCACACACACACACCCCCGGGAGTCTCTGCGCTCTGTGCAGCACAGTGTGAGCAGGAGCCG